ATATATATATATATATATACACATGTATACAGATATACACACATAAAAAAGAGGGAGCGCCACGCTGCGCCGGGGCGCGGGCGCCAGCCTTCCCATACAGCAGGGGCCTGACCACAAGAGATCTCCCACCAGAAACCAAACCCTGAGACCCCAGGACGTCCATTGAGTCTGGGCGTGGGAATGTCACGCTCTCGCTTTCCATCGCAAAACCCTCGAAACCCAAGAAACCCAGGACACCCTGGAGGCAAGCAGGGTGTTTCTTGGCATGGGCCTCCACTGTACTCGCGCCCCGAGAAATCAGGGCAAAAGCTTCTGGCCGTTCTCGGCCTCCGGGGGCCCTGGCCAGGCCCCGGGGCCGTCCAAGAACGACGCGGGCGGCGAACTGGCCCTGGGGAGAGGGTCGGGACTTCCGGGGACCATCGCATGCCTGGTCTTTTGGAAAAGCGGGGCCCGCGCTCGGTCCCGCTGGCCTTGGGCGCGAATTCATATAGAGGCGATAGGTTAGGGGGGGAGAAAGGTCCAATCGGGCGCTAAAGGCATTTTTTCTGAGCTCTAGAGGGCCCCCCTAGGGGCCCTAAAGTTAGGTCGAGAATGTCCCCCTACAGGCGGATTTGCACGAAAAATACCCTGGCGACGTACCCAACCCCTGCGCAATGCGGGGCATGAGTAGCTTGGGCGACTTCATAAAGGGGGTGATGACAAGAAATGGACGTATGAATTTCTTCGACCAGCATTTGGGAGGTCCCATTTGAGTCCGCCGCGGGGTCCCACTATGCTGGCCCCCCTAGCACGCCTCGAAAGTGGCGACAGCTTCACAGATCGCAGCCCCCCAAGGATGGCGAGGTCTAACGTGCATCTGCGTAGCACGTCACTATGCTGGACCCCCCAGCAGGCCTCGAAAGTGGCGATAGTTTTTCAGATCGCAGCCCCCCAGGGATGTCGAGGTCCCATTTGAATCTGCGTAGAACGTCACTGTGCTGAACCCCCCCCCAGCAGGCCTCGAAAGTGGCGACAGTCTCACTGATCGCATCCCCTCAGGGATGGCGAGGTCCCATTTGAATCCACGTAGGACGTCACTGCGCTGGCACCCCAGCAGGCCTCGAAAGTGGCGAGAGTCTCACAAATCGCAGCCCCCCAGAGATGGCAAGGTCCCATTTGAATCTGCGTAGGACGTCACTGTGCTGGACCCCCCAGCAGGCCTCGAAAGTGGCGATGGTTTCACAGATCGCAGCCCCCCAGGGATGGCGAGGTCCCATTTGAATTTGCGTAGGACGTCACTGTGCTGGACCCCCCCGCAGGCCTCGAAAGTGGCGACAGTTTCACAGATCGGAGCCCCCCGGGGATGGCGAGATCCCATTTGAATTTGCGTAGGACGTCACTGTGCTCGACCCCCCAGCAGGCCTCGAAAGTGGCGACAGTTTCACAGATCGCAGCCCTCCAGGGATGGCGAGGTCCACAGATCGCAGCCCCCCAGGGATGGCGAGGTCCCGTTTGAATCTGCGTAGGACGTCACTGTGCTGGACCCCCCAGCATGCGCTGGACCCCCCAGCAGGCCTCGAAAGTGGCGACAGTTTCACAGATCGCAGCCCCCCAGGGATGGCGAGGTCCCATGTGAATCTGCGTAGGACGTCACTGTGCTGGACCCCCCAGCAGGCCTCGAAGGTGGCGACAGTTTCACAGATCGCAGCCCCCAGGGATGGCGAGGTCCCATTTGAACCTGCGTAGGACGTCACTGTTCTGGACCCCCCAGCAAGCCTCGAAAGTGGCGACTCTTTCAGAGATTCCAGCCCCCCAGGGAAGGCGAGGTCTCATTTGAATCTGCTAGGGACGTCACTGTTCTGGACCCCCCAGCAGGCCTCGCAAGTGGCGATAGTTTCACAGATCGCAGGCCCCCCAGGGATGGCGAGGTCCCATGTGAATCTGCGTAGCACGTCACTGTGCTGGAACCCCCAGCAGGCCTCGAAAATGGCGACAGTTTCACTGATCGCAGCCCCCCAGGGATGGCGAGGTCTAATTCGAATATGCGTAGGACGTCACTGTGCTGGACCCCCCAGCAGGCCTCGAAAGTGGCGACAGTTTCACAGATCGCAGCCCCCCAGGGATGGCGAGGTCCCATTTGAATCCGCGTAGGACGTCACTGTGCTGGACACCCAGCAGCACTCGAAAGTGGCGACAGTTTCACAGATTGCAGCCCCCCAGGGATGGCGAGGTCACATTTGAATATGCATAGGACGTCACTGTGCTGGACCCCCCGGCAGGCCTCGAAAGTGGCGACAGTTTCACAGATCGCAGCCCCCTGCAGACAAGACAGGAGGAGGCCGGATGGAGGCGGGAGAAGGACGCGACCAGTCCTCTATTCAAAACGAATACCCAAATAAGGAGGGTTGGGAATAAGAGATAGTCAATCCAGAATGGTCAAAAATATTCCAGAAATCGTCCCCAGACTATGTTTTGATTATTGTTTGACTATTCCTCCTGTAGAGAGAGAGGCCCGACTTAACCCTAGAGGGTCCTTCTCGGCAGCCCCCGCTGCCCCTCCATGGAATCGTGGCCCAGGCGTTCTCGCCAGGTCCACTTTTCGGCCGCTAAAGGCACTCTTTCTGAACCCTAAAGGGCCTCTCTAGGGGCCCTAAAGGGTCCTTTTCAGCAACCCCCGCTGCCCCCCCCATGTATCCCCCCCCCCCCCCTTCGCGTCCCCCCGATGGCCTCCCTGGAATTGTGGCCCAGGCGTTCTCGCCCGGCCTCTCTCTGCTCTGCGCCGGGCGCTTGGCACCCGGCTTCTCGGGCCCAGGGAGCCTCACGGGGTCGACCCGGCTCGAGAGGGAGAGAGAGAGAGAGAGAGATGCCGCCGAGAATGTGGTCTACAGCCGAAAGTGTGATCAAGACACTTAGGCGAGCGCGTTCCACTACTCGCAGAGCAACTACTCGCAAATAGCCTGGATCCGCCGAGGGGGATTTGCGGTCAATTACATCGAGGCAGACTTTTGTTCTTAGGGCCGTTTGCGAGTAGGCACTTTGCGAGTCGTGGAACGCGCTCGGCGAACACTTATCACTTAAGAATATGTGCCAGTCTCTGTCGTTCATGCTGGAAGGGAAAACGCGCTCAAGAAGCCGGGCCAACTCTCCAGCAAGCTGGTCAAGAAACGATGTGACCAGCTTTTCGGAAGGGTTCTTAATCAGACGCTCGGCCGTTGGGCTCTGGCCGTGATGTCCCGCGATGCTGCACTTTTTCGCGGCGTCGGATCGCAGAGGAGCGGACGAAGCACCGAACTGTACAAGCTGTATCGGGGGCGCGTGCCCCAGGGCGGCCAGAAAACTTGCACCCTTGCGTGCCGCCGCGGGAGGTATAAGCTGATCGGCCGCCCTGGGGCGGGCGTCCTCGACGGCGGAGGCCCCAGAGAGGCAGGCCGAGAGACCCTTAGATTCAGCCAGGAGGCTTCTGATCAAAGATGCAACTTCCACGATCGTCTGAAGCACTCACTCCTTGCGGGGGTCGGCGGAATAGCGTGGGCCACCTGAATGAAATCCTCAGCCGCCCTGGGGCGGGCGCCCTCGGTGGCGGAGGAAACTTTGCATGATACACTCCTTTTTCGCCCAATGCCTGGCGGCGCGCAAGAGAGGGGGGGTCGGGCAAAGGAGGCCGCCGTCTGGGAGAAGGCGGGGGGGGCCTCCAGAAAAGGGCTCGGAAACCTCTGAGAGAAGGCTTCTTAAGTTGCTACTTCTTTTTGTTTTTCCCGACCATCATGTGATGGTGGGTCCTCGTCTTGGAAAGACCCCCCCCCCCCCCAACAAAAAAAAACAAAAACTACAACAACAACAACAACAACAACAACAACAACAACAACAACAACAACAACAACAATAATAACAGCAGCAGCAGCAACAACAACAACCCCCACCCCACCCCACCCCCCACCCCCCCCACCCCCCACCCCAAAAAAAAGGCGCGGCGCGTCACTCCTTCTCCTCGCCCCTCCCTCTTCCTCTAACCCCGTTTCGGTACACCCCTTAAACGCTTCGTGGCCCCATAGGGAACTCCAGCGAAGGTCCCAGTGGGTGGCGCAGTTCGCATGTGGGCGTCATCCCCGTTTCAGCGCACCCTCACACGTTTCGTAGCCCCATAGGGAGCTCCAGCGAAGATCCCACTGGCGCAGTTTGCCTGTGGGCGTCACCCCTGTTTCGGCACACCCATCACACGTTTCGTCGTGGCCCCATGTGGAGCTCCACGTAAGGACCCAGTGGCACAGTTCGCGTTTGGGCGTCGCCCCCGTTTCGGCACACCCCTCACGCGCATCGTGGCCCCATTGGGAGTTCCACATAAGGCCCCAGTGGCACAATTCGCATGTGGGCGTCACCCCCGTATCAGCACACCACTCATACACTTCGTGGCCCCATAGGGAGCTCCAGAAAAGGGCCCAGTGGCGCAGTTCGCATGTGGGCGTCACCCCGTTTCAGCACACCCCTCCCACGCTTCGTCCCCATAGGAAGCTCCACCGAAGGCCGCAGTGGCGCAATTCGCATGTGGGCGTCACCCCCGTTTCGGCAAACCCCTCACGCGCTTCCCGTCCCCATAAGGAGCTCCACCGAGTGCCCCCGCGGCGCAGTTCGCATGCTGGCGTCACGCCCATGACAGCACACTACTCACACACGTCGTGGTCCCATCGGGAGCTCCACCGAGTGCCTCCGTGGCGCAGTTCGCATGCGGATCCCCACTCATTTCGGCACACTCCTCACACGCTTCGCGGCCCCAGAGGGGGCTTCACCGAGTGCCTCTGAGACGCAGTTCGCATGCGATTCCCCACCAATTTCGGCACTCTGATTGCGCGGTTCGTGGTCCCATCGGGAGCTCCAACGACAGCGATGGCCACAACGCGGTGCTCACAACTGCACATGGTTGGGTCCTGCGCCAGGACGATTCGGACGGCTTCTTCGGAGGCGGGAGGGCTTCTACATAAGAGGCCTCCTCGGCTTCCTCAGGAGCCCACTGTTGTGAGGGCCGCCGATCCCGGCCCCCGCTGGCAGCAGCGTCGGCGCTGGCCGTCTTCTGCTGCACGGCCAGGTTGGACAGGCGCCCATCGGCGCAAAGCCATTCCATCCTGCTAGCGCAAGTGCCAAGGTGAGCGCCAGATGGCCCCACTGTCCTGAGCCACAACGACCCGAGGCACAACGGCTTCAAAGCTCCTACGTCAAAGCCCCTCAGAGCACCTCGAAATTATTCGAAGCTCCCGCTCCGCCTCCTCCTCCGCATCCTCCTCCTCCTCCTCCTCCTCCTCTCCTCCTCCTCCTCCTCCTCCTCCTCCTGGATCAACAATTACTATTCTTCGAGAATGAGAGCTTAACAACAACGGACAAAAAAAAAGGGGGGGGGGGGGGGAGAAAAAAAAAAAAAAAAAAAAAAAAAAAAAAAAAAAAAAAAAAAAAAAAAAAAAAAAAAAAAAAACAACAAACAACAACAACAACAAACAACAACAACAACAACAACAACAACAACAACAACACAACAACAACAACAACAAAACAACAACAACAACGACAACGACAACGACAACGACAACAACAACAACAACAACAACAACAACAACAACAACAACAACAACAACAACAACAACAACAACAACAACAACAACAACGACGACGACGACGACGACGACAATAACAACACCAGCGGCAACAACAACAACAACAGCAACAACAACAATACTAACAACATCAACAACAACAACAACAGCAGCAGCGAAAACAACAAAAACGGCAACAACAATCATTTTAAGACTGTTCGCCCTTATCTGCCCGAGTGTCCAATAACGCGTATTTCCCAAACCCTCGATACCCGCCCTCTTCGTTTTCGATCGACCCCCTTTTGGGGGGCATACCTTTCTTCATTGCAGGCCGGGCCCCGGCAAGCGGCGGGGCGGCCGCGGACCGTCGGCCTGGCCAGCGGCAGCGCTGATCGGCGGGGTGGCCGCGGATCGTCGACCCGACCCCAAGAGGGACAGACAGGGGACCGACCACGACGACGACGACGACGACGACGTCGACGACGACGACGGCGACGACGACGACGACGATGGCGACGACGACGACGAGCGAAAGCGAGAGCGAGAGAGAACGACAGCAGGGCCACGAAGGACACGAAGTACGCCACGAAGGGCGAAAGCGGGGGCACGAAGGGAATGCGTATGGGGCCACGAAGAGCGCGAACGAGCGGGGGCCACGAAGGGCAGATAATGCGGGGCCACAGAAGGCAACGATGGGGCCACTGAGGGTAGCAACTGGGCCACGTAGGACAATGAGGGAGCCACAAACGGCGACAGCGGGGCCACGAAGGGCACGCACATGGGGCCACAACGGGCGCGAACTACCGGGGGCCACGAAGGGCATACGTATGTATGTGGGGCCGCGGAGGGCAAGGACGGGGCCACTGAGGGCAGGCTCCGCTGAAGCGCTGTAAAGTTCCTATAGGACTCCTATAGGATTCGTTGAAGCCCGATGGGGTTCCTCTTGGATTCCCATAGGAATCGTGGAAGCCCTGAAGGATGCCTATGGGATTCCTACGGGATTCGTTGACGCCCTATGGGTTTCATCCCGGATTCCTATGGGATTCGCTGAAGCCCTACAGGATCCCTGTAGGATTCCTTGAAGCCCCATAGTATTCCCAAAAGGTTCCTATAATATTATTATGGGATCCGTTGAAGCCCTATAGAACTCCCATAAGGCTCGTTGAAAACCTATAGGAATCCTAAAAGGATCCCTATTGGATTCGCTGGAGCCCTAGATTCCCATTACATCCCGGTCGGGTTCGTTGAAGATCTATAGGATGCCTATAGGATTCGCTGAAGCCCTATAAGATTCCGTAGAAGTCCTATAGGCTTCGTCGGAGCCCTATAAGATTCCGATTGGATTCCTATAGGATTCGCTGACGCCCTATAGGGTACTTATAGGATTTGTCAGCCTTGTAGGATTCCTATAAGATTATTAGAGGACCCGTTGAAGCCCGCCCTATGGGATTCCTATAGGATTCCTATCGGATTCCCTGAAAGCCCTTAAGGAGGCCTACAGGATTCGCTGAAGCCCCATGAGATTCCTGTAGGATAGCGATCGGCTTCGAACAGGATTCGCTGAAGCCCAGCAAGATTCCGATGAGATCCCTTGAGGCCCTATAGGATTCCTACGGCATTCCTGTGGGATTCGCTGAAGCCCTATAGGATTCCCATGGAAATCGTTGGATCCCATTGGAATCCTATAGGACTCCGATACGCATCCCATCGTATCCTACGGGGCTCCTATGAGAATACCATTGGACCCTATGGGGCACCGAAACGAATCCCATTGGATCCCATAGGATCCAAAAGAAATCCTCTACGAACCTTACGGGATCCTATAGGACTCCCATACGAAGCCGATCGGATCCTGCAGGACTCCTGCACAAATCCCATCGGATTCAAAAGGACTCCAAGACGAATACCATGAGATCCTGTAGGACTCCAAAACGAATTCCACAGGTTTCCACCGGACTCCTGTGCGAAGCCAATGGGACCCTATAGGACTCACACACGAATCCGATAGGATCCTATAGGATTCCTATCCTATACGAGTCCGATTAGATCCGATCGGACTTCTATACAAATCCGATGGGGTCCTACAGGACTCCTGTACACATCCCATCGGACCCTATAGGAGTCCTATACGAAACCGATGGGATTCTATAGGGCTCCTATACGAATCCCATTGAATCCCATCGGACTCCTATACACAACCATTCGGGTCCCCTAGGCCTCCAAAACGACACCCAATCTGATCCTACACGCTTCCTATACGACACCCACAGGATCCCATACGAGTCCTATACGAATACAATCGGATATCACAGGAGTCCGACACGAATCCCAAAAGATCCTATCGGACCCCTATACGAATCCTAAAAGATAATGAAGGAGTGCTATACGACTCCCATGAGATCCTGTAGGGCTCCTATACGAATCCCATGGGACCCAATAGGACCCCTGTACGAATCACATAGGAATCTATAAGACTCCTGTACGAATCCAATGGGATCATATAGGACTCCCCTACGACGCCCATCGGATCCCACAGGACTCCTACACGAATCCCATAGGATCCTACCAGACTCCTCCCATACGAATCCCATGGGACCCCATAGGACTCCTATACGAATCCCATCGGACCCGATAGGACTCCTGTAAGAACCCCATCAGATCCCATAGGGCTCGTATACGTATTCCATTGGATCCTATAGGACTCCTGTACGAAGCCCACAGGATCCTGAAGGACTCCTACACGACTCCCATTGGATCCGAGACTCCTAGACGAAACCCATGGGATCGTTTAGGAGTCCCATACCATAGGATCCTATAGGACTCCTATACGAATCCCATAGGTTCCTATAGGACTCCTGTACGAAGCCCATAGGATCCTATAGGACTCCTATTCCAATCCCATTGGATCCTATGGGACTTCTACACGATTCCCATAGGACCCTATAGGACTTCTATACGGTTCCCATAAGACCCTATAGGACTCCTAGACAAATCCCATAAGTTCCTGTAGGACTCCTATACAACTCCAATGGGATCCTGAAGAACTCCTACACGAATCCCATCGGATCCTATAGGCTCCAAAGGACCCCATGGAACTCCCATGCGGCCTCAGGTCGCAGGGTAAGGTGCGTTGCGTTGCGTTGTGCTGCGCCGGGGGGGGGGCTGGCGCCAACTAGTTTCGCAATCAACAACTACAACAACAACAACAACAGCAACAACAACAACAATCACAAGAACAACAAACACAACAATCATTGTGAGACTGTTCGCTTCAATCTGCTCACGTGCCAATCAATACGTAGATCTCAAACCCTCGGTACCCGCCCTCGTCGTCTTCGCTCGTACCCCCTCGGGGGCAAATCTTCCTTACCTGCCACGTGTATTTAATGCAGCAAGGGGAAAGAAAGGACAGGTGAAAAGGAGACTGAGAAGAATGGAGCACGAGACAAATCACCATGATGGGGGCCAGGAGCAGAAAACAAGTGGTAGAACCAAACGGGCAGATCGGGCGGGCAGACCCATAGCGGGCAGGTCGGGAAGGCGGGCCCAAGCGACGAGGTCGAGCAGGCGGGTTGCTGAAGCATGGGTCCTGCATGAATCGCGAGGAAGTCTCGAGCGATACGCGATTCTCAAGTAAATCGTGAGAAAAGCCAGCGTGGGCCACGAAGGGCATAAAATGCGAGGCCACAGAGATCAGCGACGGGGCCGCTGAGGGCAGCACCGGGGCCACGAAGGGCAGCGAGGGGGCCACGAAGGGCGACAGCGGGGCCACAAAGGGCATGCATATGGGGCCACGACGGGCGCGTGCGAGCGGGGGCCACGAAAGGCATATAATACGGGGCCACAACGGGCAGCGACGGGGCCACTGAGGGCAGCAAAGGGGCCACGAAGGGCAGCGAACGAAGGCGACCGCGGAACCAGTACGGGCAACGAGGGGCATCGAAGGCGGGCGAAAGGCAGCGAGTGGCGACTGCAGTCATTAACGGGTTGGTCGGGCGGGCAGGCCCCGACGGGCGGGTCGAGCGGCCGGGTCGTTGAAGCGTGAGTCCTGCTTGAACCACGAAGCTATCTGTAGCAGGGGCGCGATTCCTGAATGTCGGAGACCAGCATCGGAATAAATTGTAAGGAAATATCAAGCGAAGCGGTTCGGCGGTAAGCTGCGAGGAAGTCCCAAGCGAGAACGCGATTCGATCATACGATTCTATACTACAGTGTCAGGAAGTTTCAAGCGGGAGCCGCTGTTCGGTGGTAAATTGCCATGAAGTCCAAACCGAGAGCGCGATTCTTCAATAAATTGTGAAGAACTCTCAGGCGGGAGCCGTTGTTGTTGTAATGTGGGGGAGCAACAACGCAGTTTTACCCAGACTAGATTGTGAAGAAGTCTAAAGCGGGAGCGCCGCTTCTGATTAAATTGGGACGAAATCTCAGACGGGAGGGGGGGGTCCTGAGTTAATTTGGAGGAAATCTCAAGCTGGAGCCGTTGTTGTTGTAGTCCAGGGGGCCACGGGCCCAGTTTGA